TTGTATGTTGACGAGAAAAAATTCTTCTTACTGCTTTGTGAAGTTCATTGACAATATCTTGTTTACTCATTTTGTGTAGGTTTTGCTGCAAGCATGAGGTCGATTTCCTTTTCGTGTAATACAATGTACTGAAATTGATAGTAGTCAATTTTTATAAATTGTTAAGGTACTTTTTGATATTATTCTGAATTGTTTTCATTTAATTTTTAAGTTCTTGAACACATTTATCCACATATTCTTTATTTACAGTCTCATCGTCTTTTTTAGGAGATTGCAGTTCTTTTAATCTTGTTGATTTCAACTCAAAGTCACTTGCGTCTGTTATTACTAACGTATCACTGAGAATATCAATGCATTCAGATAGTCCTAAGCGCTTATGAACATGATGACCAAATTTGTCTATATTCATTACCTTCTTGTCCTGCTGTAGGCAGCTTAATATATTTCATGTCTTTTATGATGCCAGCTTCACGCATTTCTTCGATTGTTGCATAAATTTCATTATAAAGCCCAGTGTTACCAGCTGCCCATGATCCGAGTAGAATTTTTTATCGTTTCACTAACTCGTTTTGGATTGTTCCAGTAAACCAAATCAGTATCTTTTTAACTTATTTTAAATTATCAACTCCTCCTCCCTTTGAAAAATATTTCTACACTACTTTTATGATTTCTCGAGTAATTAAACAATGGTTTGATCACTCGAATATATTTAAATCCTTTGTTACTGTAACAGTATCGTGATGAAATAAAGCGAGTGAGTGAGAGTTTTGTTAGATGTTGTATAAACATCGTTATCTGAGTTTCCTTCATTATTAACAGGATCCTTAAACACACCACTTGAAGAAATTGATGACTCAATTTCGCTGTACTTAGTTCTTTTATAAGGTGAGTTTGCTCTGTACTTTCATTTAAATGTTTCTTTTCTTCAGTTTTTCTGGTAAGCATATTAAGCGGATCAACGATAGGTTTAAATATTGTTTTCAAAGCCAGAGAGACGAGTGAATGATCGGTGCAATAACAATTAGCAAAGCAGTGTTCAAATATGAGCATCTAAAGTTTGAATATTATTAAGCAATAATATTCCTTATGAGTTATATAAGTACGGATCAATGCTAAAGGTACATAATAAAATATTTCTTTATTTTAAAATATGACAAATTAAAATACTTTCAGGTGGACATAGTCTTATAATTTAAGGGTATAAATTAAGCAATTGGGAGGTGTTTCACCATTACTTACAGTGTGTTTCCCACAATCTGCTAGACTTGAAAGTGATAATCATCATTAAGGTGGCAAGTACGTACGTAACACTTAGTCTCCTCACTCATTAAATACAATAGAATAATAATTAATTTGTTATATGTTACATTAATGTTATATGTTTCACTTTATAAGTTTTCATATGAGTGTTTCTGTACAGTGATGTATTTCTCTTGTAATCATTTTGTGTTACATTTTAGGTATTCCAATCCCTTTGAGTCAGACGCTGAAGTACAGTCGACTTCGCAAAAGAAAAAAAAGCGGCTAAGAAACCAACTAATGTATGAAAGACAAAAACTGCAGCTCCTAAGTCCAAGAAATGAATTGAACTATTCGGAAGCGACTCGGAATCTGAGGCTGATGCATTGCCGTTGCTTGCCCCAGCTTCGAACAGCAAGAAACGAAAATTAAACGTTTTTCCAGACTCTGAGGTAAGCAAATCTTATTTAATTTTAATAATTTGAGTAACCATTCAAATGATGAAAAGTTAGGTTCTATTTGATTGGATGTCAACTTTGTACTGTATTACATTATTATTATTGGTTGTAGTAACTGTGAGGGGGCTTCGAAGTCGCCGAACTCAAAGATGAGTGCAAATATTGATATCTTTTATCTTTGTATGCAATGTTTACTCGCAAATAAATTATGATTATTGTTATCAGTCATAGGTTTTTATAAAAACGTATTTGATTATATTTTTAGATGGTTGGTGTGATTGACTAGTTAGTTTTGTATGCAACTATGCGTTAGTTTTACCAGTGTTACTTATCCGCCAGATTTAATTCACCGGTCTTTCAGAAATCTGTATATCAAAACGCAAATACAAAGTCTAAAGCCGCAATTTAATAAAACATAAAAATGATAACTAGCAAAAAATATTAGAGTTTTGATTATTTCATTATATTAAATATATCTTATTTAATTACTGACTCTTTATTGTAGTAATTTAATGAGTATTCAATAATTTTGCAGAAAAAATTACGAACAAGTGTTCGGAATTCGAGCTTTGTAAATCAGATTGGACAATTGAGTCCATAAGACACTTAGAACTAAATATTCTAAAATATAATCTGTTAAGATTTGGTTCTGATACACTGTTACCCGAAAAAATACACAAAACAAAATCGTGCTTAAATTTAAAAAAAAAAACAATGTACACCATTGCTTTCTATGTAGTATTGTTATTGTAGCTCATCATCATTATAGCCCTTTACAAGTCCAATGCTGAATATAGGCCTCCCCCAAGGAATGCTACAAAGCACGGTCTGGAGCCACCTGCATCCATCGACTTCCTGCATGTTTTACCAGGTCGTCACTCCATCTAGTGGGGGGACGCCCTACACTTCGTCGAAGTACGAAGTACGTACTTTCGGTACGAGGCCGAATATTGTAGCTCATTTGTATCCAACTACAAGTAATCCTAATAGAGTACAATACCTAATACATACCCCCATTATTTAGATGTTTTAATAACAGATTATAATATGACATTTCCTCCAAGTTCTAATAATATTAAATTATTCAAGGAATCCTAATGCGAGCGTTAATATTTATGGTTTAGATAAAAAAAATGTGACTGTACCCGCTATATAAAACTTTAAAAAGATAGATATTATGGTATAATGAAAAATCGAGAAAGAGTTTGTGTATAATTAGATGAAAGAATCATCAAATATTTATTCCAAAAGTTGATAAATATGTGCTTAATAGAGATGTTGACAAAAGACAAATTACGGCAGATGGCTGCAATACGTTACCATGGGACACTATAAAACTGTATTTAATAATTTTTAATGTAAAGCATTAGCATTAAAATCTTTGATGACATTTTCTTCTTGCTCATTAAATTCGTAAATGTTAATTTTAATTAGATGATGACAACATCTTGGCGAATAATGTATGATGAAAACTTGAATTCATCCATCCATCCATTACAGCCTTATTATAGGCTGTAAACCATTCCTGACCATAGGCCATAGTTGTCACTCTTGGCGGGCAGGTGAGCACTGTAATTTCTGATATATTTTGAGTCATAAACATAGCCATTGACTACAAATAGTAAAGATAATGCCAGGAAAAGTCAAAAGCGAAAATTAGCAAAATTACAAATTAATAAAAACGAGCCATACCCACAGTAAACCTTCAAACTTTCTATTATCAATAACTCAAAAGTTGAAAGTAAATTTTTTAGATTGGATTATTTTGCGTAACTACATCCAATATCTTTTGTTTATCCTTTTCTTAACTCGTTTTAGTTTTAATCTTCAAGGAGTTAAATTTGATTTTAGTGGAATACAAAAGTATCCTGAAAAATATTCGTTTCGCAAGTATAACATGTATTATCAGATTAGCAACAGATGCTATAAATATAAGTGCATGAAACAAATAAGATTACTTTTTTTATTATGATGATAAGAGAAACCTATGAAGCTTTTCTACGTATTTTTTGTTATCAAGTTTATCAGACACCAGGGTATTAAAGAGTTTCAAAATCACCGATAACGGACGTTATGTAGTGTGCACAAAGGGGTTTGGCGCTAAAGTTCTGGTAATTTTATAAAATATTTGTATGAAGTAATTGTTTACCTACGAGTACATACTTATTGATACGGAATATTGCGATATATTTATTGAATAAAGATAAAGAAAAAAGGTTAAGTTTTACACTACGAGTACGATTGCAAGAAATAAAAAATATTTACAAGTTGTTATTTAATTTTTTTAACTATTCTAAGAAACAGCTTGATTAATATCTCATCTGATGGTAAGTGGTGATGCAGCCAAAAATAGTAGGGCGCAAATTATAAAGACGCGGCATAAGGGGAAGGTACGGCACGGGCGCGGCGCAAGCATGGTGCCGCTTCAAAATGTTTTCTTATAAAATGTGTGAAAGTGGCGTTTTGTGAATTATACTCAAGCGGCGCGGCACAGGCTTGTATCCGTTCCGTTCTTGAGCCACGCCAGTGCCGTGCCTTCGCCTTATCCCGCTTCTGTATAATGTGCGCCTAAAGAGCATTGGCATAAATAAATTGACTTATACATTTCATATTTGTCTTGAGCGTTTTAGGCACGGAAATTAGATAATTCCACTTTGAGACTATGACATTAATCGAAAAGCGCTTGCTGCGTGAAAGGATAGAGCCTGCTTGCTGATTAACTCACTCGCTTAAGTTTCTCCCATCGTCTTCTATTCGTCATTTCGCCAGTATTTGTAACAAATCGTTATATATAAATATAATTTTATAACTCGTTTCCAAATTGAATGATATCATACGCGCGCAGCATTTTACGTTGGTATCCTATGACTACCACAGCCAGAAATGGTCGATGTTTCTCATTCCATGTTAAATCAATGTTTTATTACCGCAATTGTTGTATAGAAAAGCAAATGCAAATAAGTCTTTTTCGACCTTCTTTTTTTTTAGTAAAAATCTTTTTTTTCCCATATTTTAGTTAAATAAAGCTAACCTAATTATTACATACAGTTCGCCAGCGGTATTCAGAATTTTTTGCGCATGCAAGCAAAATAATAAATTGTTAAAGCCTAACTATTAATCAATAATATGAACAATAATATGAAAATAAAAGTGATGTGTTTTATCACCTTTACCATTTTATATATTTAAAAGAAATTATAACCTAAAGATCTTAGGATTAATTGAGATACGAGTATGTATCGTTTGTAAGAAGCGCACAGTAACAGAAAAATTGGGCGATCTATTGTGAACGGAAAACCTCACCTTTAACCACCTCGGTATTTTGTAGATTTTGCGTTACAGAAACAAACTTCGGACCAATGTGAACGCGGGAAGACTTAGTAACGCTGAGGTTACCAACATTAGGTGCAGCTGTAGAGGTAGCCAGATTGACTCCATCCATGGCCACGATCTCCGAATTGGTACTCCAGCGGACCAGCGGCGCACCGGGCTGATCATGACTATGATCATCTCCAGAAATCCACATCACTGCCACTATCACTAAAACGTTTAGAGGTTTTGATTCACAAAATAATTTTTTTAATTATTTTTGACGTTTTCTTTGTTGTCTTTAATACGACTGACTTCCTTCGCCGTCGCAATTTGTGTACTGATAAACGTAAACCTTTGAATCACACAGTATAGCGTTTTCCTATGTGTGCATAGAGATAACTCCGACGGTAATTCATATTGTGTCTTTTTGCCACTTATCTGTTTCGCACATAATAATTTGAAATCAATTTAGCATTAGTAAAGGTAGTTTCACAGCATGTAATCATACTTTAATTAAATATATGAATAAGCTAGCTGTGTCGCGGCTTTGTTCGAATAGAATGATTATTAGCAACTTATTTGTTTTGAAGTTTTATTTCTTGAGACTATTGATTATATTTTACGAACTACACCCCTGTACCAACTTTAAGAGTAATAGTATAGATATTTTTATACTTATAAGTAATATTTTCATCATGAAACCATAGTGTATGTATGATTTCAACACCGATGATTTTGTATTCGTTCAATATTATATTTAAATAAAACTAAGTGACGTAGATATGCACAAAGAAAATATAAAAAAAAAACAATCGTAAAACACGTTTCTGGTAGGGGCTAGCACCTTTTCACTTTTAATTTATTTTTATTTTTATTTATAAATATATAACAGAAATAAATATTCTGTGAATACTTCAACTGTCTATCTATTACAGTCATAGTAGATAGATAGTGATACAGCCCGTTGACAGACAGATGGACGGATGGACGGATGGACGGATGGACGGATGGACAGATGGACAGATGGACGGATGGACAGATGGACGGATGGACGGATGGACGGACGGACGGATGGACGGACAGAGGAGGCTTAGTAATAGGCTCCCGTATTTCTCGCTTGTATAGCCAACTCAACACGGACTGGGTCGCGGTCTATACACACTTCAGTCTTTTTTATTTGTATAGATTACATAACAAAAAATATAATTGAAAAAAGACATGGACTGCCGCCCGTTGGTCTGTGCGTCGGTTAATCTTCTCGCTTAATAGAAATGTAAACAATAGATTGAGATAATATATAGTCTATATCTATACATATAATAAAAATGTAAATAGCCGATGTCTGTACATTTTAAATTTATATAATAAAAGTGATTGAGAGGTACTAAAAATAAGTAATTAAATAAATTTCTACCATTTTTAGAATTTTCTGTCTGTCTGTCTGTCTGTTTGTTTGTTAACGTATCACGGGTAAAGTAGCAATTTATATCTAAGGTTACATTTAGTCTTTATTTAATTAAAATTAGTTCATTCCATCAAAAGTTATGATAAATATTCTGAAGTATGGCTACGAAGTATAGGTACGAATTTGTTCAATGGTAGCTTTCGTTGAGTCGTCAAGTATATTTTAAACTAATATCATATTATAAATCATAATTAAATTATGTAAAATAATGTTCTATAATGATATAATTATATCTAAAACGCAGTAAACTAAAATATTACATAAAGAACGTAATAAATATATAAAAAAATATATTAACCTTATTATCTAAATCTAAAGTACAATAGTTAACCCATTTCATCAATAGATGGTGGTGATGCATAAATGTAATACAAAAAGGCAGGTTGTAGTTTTTTCCTGTAGATGAGTTTTCATATTTGCTGTTAATCTTTATATTACTCGCTGCCCTGCTGTGTGTTGACAATCTCATTTATTCTTTACCGCCGATTACTCTACATGGTAAATCAAATTTTAAAAGAGCTATTAACAATTTCCTTGGTTTCAACGAGGATCAAACTTTCTTTTTTGCTTACGACGCAGGCCTGATTTATAAGTTCTTTTATGTTTTTTTATTGTATCAATCGCGTCAATTAATCTCTTTTATTTTTAGAATCGATTTTAACAGCGCCATCTATCTTTACATGTGGTGATAACATGCTGTGCCTGTTTCTGTACATTGTAGGTCTAGTATATTAATTTGTGACTAAAATCATAATGGAGACTGAAATTCATTAAATAAGTACATTTTTATAATTTTTAGAACTGTGTGTCTATCTGTCTGTCTGTTTGTTTATGAAGGCATCACGTCTTAAGTAAACATCTTTTTTCAAAGAAATCGTTAAGAAAATCATAAAGCGTATCTTCCAGTTCATTTAATCTGTTTTATTAAAATTGCTTAATTCTATCGAAAGTTATTATTTTGAAATGTAGGTTCAGTTTGTTTAAAGGCGCTATAAAATCTCAGAAATAGTAATAAAATGATTCGTGTGTAAAGAAAACGTTCTATTATAATATATTTATACTTAAACACAGTTAACAAAAAATATGTTTTCCTTAAATTAAAAAAAAGGATGTTTTCTCACAAAGAACGTAATAGATGGCTTTGTAAAATTACAACTTTTTCTGAATTACGGTGTTAATATTTTTCACCGGTGAATCGTATTGAGACTCACTGAAGTAATTTACGTTAATGAGAACTTTCCTTTCAGTTTTAAGCGTGTTCTGTTCCCACTTCCCAGTCAGCGTGTGTTATGCGATGACCGATGACGGTAAATAAAGCGCAAGGTCAAACTTTACGCGTTGCAGGAGTGGACCTCAGTACTGACTGTTTTGCACATGGCCAACTCTATGTTGCTTTTTCTCGCGTTAGTAGCTCCCGTAACATATTTCTGTACGCCCCGGCTGTCTACTTCTAACGTCGTTTACACAGAAGTTCTAGCACAAACGACTCAGAACTTTGAAATATTCTCTTACCTAAACATCAAATTCTTTAAGTAAAACCTATATACGCGAGCTACGCCGCGGGCACAGCTAGTATTAAATAAGATTCCATATATTCTAAGGATCCCTTTTGATTTTTGTTACGAATATTCAAAAGCACCGTTCAAAAGTTATTAATGAAAGTCGATCAGCAGGGCTATTCACAATCGTCACGGAAAGCGAAATCGACTCGGATTCGATAACTTCTCGCACCGAAACCAATAAACGCTATTAACATTTAACGTTCGGACAAAGGTCACTTAGATACATCCTATAACTATTGTATCGTCATTTAGTTACATGCATTTACGAATTTTGTAGATAAATAGGCTTTTGTATTTTTTTAGAGTAACGCCTGAACAAAAACATAATGCAATATTTTGGAGTTAGCCATTGATATCGAATATAAAAAATATATAATTTAACTATATAATAAATAACAAAAAAACTGAGATATGTCTCGTTTCTGTCGGGTCTGGGTTTTTTTCTATGGGGCGTGACCGTACTTCTTTGACGTTTGTTTTCGATAATTGTGACAGTTTGCATCGGAAACTTTACGAGAGCTCTGAGGCTGGCGAAAACTTTTCGAATATTGATGATTAGAAGAGATAAATAAACCCTTTTAATTATAAGGTAGGTAACAAAAATTAATTACAATTATCTATAAGACGTATTTTCATATAATTACTTCAATATTTGCACTTAATCGTAAAGCTGAATTTTTGTGAAAGGTGTGTTTTTATAAGTTTTCTATCACAAATATATATATATATATATATATATATATATATATATATATATATATATATATATGCTGCTTTGTGAAACGAGACATATCTCAGTTTTTTTATTATTTATTATATAGTTAAATTATATATTTTTTATATTCGATATCAATGGCTAACACCAAAATATTGCATCATGTTTTTGTATAGGCGTCACTCTAAAAAAATACAAAAGCCTATTTATCTACAAAATTCGTAAATGCATGTAACTAAATGACGATACAATAGTTATGGGATGTATCTAAGTGACCTTTATCCGAACGTTAAATGTGAATAGCGTTTATTGGTTTCGGTCCGAGAAGTTATCGAATCCGAGTCGAATTCGCTTTCCGAGACGATTGTGAATAGCCCGGCTGATGCTATGTTTTTTTCTTGTAAAAATTATCGTCACTATTTTTTATTTTTTCATCAAAATTAAATGAAACGCTCATGACACGTGCACTTTTGAATTTTCCATTTTTTTTTAATTATATTCACGAGACGTCTTAAACAAGATTGTCTCAAAAATTTCTTTGACGAAGTTAGACATGCGGGTAGTAACTGCCAGGTACCAACATGTCGACAAGTTAGTATTGCCTTCAATAAGATGTTTATAACCAATACCTTAAGGAAACCTTAAAATACTAATTATGAATACGAATTGTATGTGTTATTTATGTAACCAGAAGATTGTCGTTTGTTTAATACACCATCGCGGAAATCTGACGATATTACTGCCCTTGTGTTAGCAGTAGGAACAAATGATTATCGATTTGATTTACCAGAAAAAAAAATGGTTAAGTCTATGTGTCGGGATATTTGTATAGAGAATGTTATCTGGAACAGCACAAAATTGAGAAAATAAAATTGTACGTAGATAGATCTGAACAATCTATAAATATGGGAAAATATTATTTTTTCAGCCATTACAAAGATTTTAATATAGATAGTGTTCAATCGGGTAATTTTTAATATTACTACCTGAAAATTTTATCGCATTTATTGAATTGCTGGAACAAAAATTTCGCGAATATTTTGACCTCGAAAGAAACATTGCAAATATTGGTAGTGAAATATTAAAACGTGTGCAAGATTGTATATCTCTTATGCCATGTGAGTGCTTTCCAATATATAGGTTATTAAAAATATTTAATTTTTTGAAGAACAATAATTATAAAAGTAAAGTATTAGAATACGAATCTTAAGTATCTATTAAAAACTGACAAACGTTTTGTTTATTTAATTTTATCCTCCTGTACCAAAATAGGCAAAAATTTTGAGAGCTCCTTTAAGGTTTGCTGATGATACCTTATCTTATGCGGCAATCACAATTATGACTATTGTGAATATTGCTTATGGAAATAAGTACATTGGTTTAACGCCAACAGTTTCCTTTTAAAAGGCAATTAAACATAATGTAAATCTTTTAGAATACGTTCTGTTAAACATCTGGATACCAATGTGTTCTTAAATGGGGAGGAATTCAGCCATGTGGATTCCACTGTTTTTATTAGAATTACATTGACGCATTGCTTTATTGGGCCCCCTATATATTTAAAGGAGCATCAAGCAGATTTATTTTTCTTAACACC